AAAAAAAAAAAGAGAGAGAGAGAGAGAGAGATTTCTGTCATTTGGTTTGGGTTAGAGAGTAGGAGTAGGATATAGAAATTGAATAGAAGAGTATTAGAAGTTGACCCTAAATTCTCAAGCTTTATTTGACATCCTTGTTGCAAAAGTGGAACCTATTTAATTGCAGACTATAATAAAGAGAAGATATTTGTTTATATGAGGAAGAAAGTAAGGCCTAATTTGTTAAGGCTCAGTGTTTATATTCATTCCCTCTCTCTCCTCCTCCCTTCTTTCCTCCTCCCTTCTTTCTTCCTCTTCATCCTCTTCCTCCTCCTCTTCCTCCTCCTCCTCTTCTCTCTTTCTTTCTCTCATACACACAACTCATGTAAGCTTGAGAAGGAACAAAACATGTTATTTCCTATCCAGATCAGAATTGATATGAGTAATGCCTCATAATGGAGCTTAGTTTAGATCTATAGATGCTTTTGGGGCTTCACTTCTCTGGATTGACAACAGTCTAGATGAATGAACCCACCTTTGCTTTGTGTTGGCAGAGTCAGCAGAAGTGCAGGATGGTGGTGTCTGAATATTTGTCATACCCATCTCTATCTTTATTTTCATCTAATTTACATCTTAAGGACCTTTTATAGTAGTGAAAACTATTATTTGTAAAGTGTTGTTAGTGTATGTTATTTTAAGTCTTTCTTATTTCTGTCCTTATTTCCACTTACTGTCCTTACACTTAGTTCTATACACTTGGTTTATGCTGACCAACTCCTCCCAAATGATCTTTGTCCTTCACACCTCATTCTTATCTGTTAAATAAATTTTCTGAAAATGCTGCATTTATTATGTCACTTTTGGATGCAAAATATTTCAGAGATTTTTTTGTATGCAAAATATTTTGTTTTATGTTCACAATTTCCAGTATGACATAATTATCCTCAGTAATTAGGCTTCAATATCAAGGCTTTTCAGAAAAATAAGATATACATATATGGAAATGGTTGATATGTGTGTCTGTGAGTACATACATTCACATACATATCTACATGCGTAGACATAGATATATGTAATGTGATCAAAATGAGTGTGTCTGATAGTAGTTTTTAAAGTAAAAATACTAGAAGTTTGTATTCAAATGACATACTTGAGATGGTGTCTTTGTACTCATTTTATTAATGTCATAATTATTTAGCTTGTTCTTAAAATTTATCTTTTTTGTTTACCTTTAAAGAAATACATTCATATTAAAGAGTTATTTTGCTTTATACTAGTGCTTTGCATTTTTAAAAATTTGGACTTTGCTGCTGAAATTTTATATCAGACAGTTTACTTAATTATTAAGTATTTTTGAAAATTAAATCATGTTCCAAGGATAATGATTTACCATTAAACCTTTAGAACATTGTATGTCAGAAATTCGAGAAGTAGTTTCCATATTGTTTGTCACAGTGACAGTCTTTCAAAATGACAGTTTTAAGTACCAGCATTTATTTGGCTGGACATTAGAGCCTCTTTTCTTACTACACATTTTAAACTCAGTTGATTGACCACTACTGCTCTAAAACCCATTGCCTGATGTCCTGTAAGGTGTTGAATGCTTTGAGCTGGTGAGCTTCAACTCTACAGCATCCATATGCTTTTGTTCTTACTAGCTGAATGGTCTGTTTACAAAGAGCCATTTGTGTTCCCAGAGCTGTTAATACCAAATAGATTTGTTATAGTAATTACATAATTTAGTGAAATACTGTTAGACTAGTGAAATAGGAGTATAAAAATAAAATTGTAATTTTTATAAAAACTAAATTGAGTGCTTTAGAAGACAGGATAAAGTTAGTTGCTAAAAAAAACACGAATTGGGAAAGTGTTGGAAAATAGTGATCACTGGACCCAGATTGCTTTGAAAGAATCTTTAGGTTCCAGTATCATCTTATAGAAATCAAATTGGAAATCTTTATAGGCCTACTTTATATCAAAAAGATTTAAAAATCAATATACACTTTTTTAAGTTAAATTAAGATGTTTATATATTTACAAAGCAAATGTGTGTGCCTTAAATTACAGATTTATTTTTTCATAGTTCTGGAAGCTGGAAGTTCAAGATCAGTGTGTTGGCAGTTTGTTTTCTGATGAGACATCTCTTCCTGGCTTGCAGATGTCCTCCCTTTTGCTGTGCCCTCACATGGCCTATCTTCTGGGCAGTCCTCCCTCTTGCCTTTCTTCTTACAAAGAAACCAATTCTATTGGATAAAGCCATATCCTTCTGTACTCTATTAGCCATAATTACCTCCTTAAAGACCCCCAACTCTAAATGTAGTCACATTGAGGATTAGGGCTTCAACATGTGAATTTTAAGGGGGATATAAGTTATGCCATTATCAGTGTTGATCACACTGAATAAGAGGCTTCTGTTGTATGTTAGAGTATGCTTTTTTCTCTTTTTCCAGTCGGCTACTTTATACTTGATTCTGATATTTAGAAGAAAGTGAGGCATTTGATAATTCAAATAGTAATATTATAGCTGTTAGAAATCATAGCATTCAATGTAAATCATTTGAGTTAGTAATAACAGTAAATAACATTTATGTGCAAGGTACATGAGCAGTACTCAGACAAAGCAGAATAATTACCTTTGGATTCTAGAGTGGCATATACGTACAGTGTTCCAAAGAATAAGACAGATATGGAGGAGATTCTTTAATAATTAATAAAGGCAATAGTAAATCAGACATTTCTATGCTAATGAAAATTTAAAAATTAAGATTCACTGTGGGCTAATTTTATATTTGCTTTCTCCTGACTGAGTTTAATTTTTTTAAGTCTAGTATTTTCCCCCAGATTGATAATATTTCCTCAAGCAAATGTATCTCAAACTCAAGTATTTTAGGCCTTTGAGATTTTTTTGTTCTATATTAAAATGATAAATAAGGTCATTCCCCTTTAGTATTTTTAAACCTATAAAGGCAGCATTAGTTTTGTTTGGTTTCCTTTTATCATTTTACTTTTCTCATTTTGAAATTGCATTTTAAAAATAAGGAAAAGCCTAATACTCAATGTTTTAAAATGATCTTCATATTATGACATCAAATTTAGTCAGTGAATTTTAACTATGTAGTTTATTATAAGTGAAAATACTTTGTCATATGAAATTAATCATGTTTGATTTTTTAATTACTTCATTTCTACCTTCTGTTTGTATAGAGAGGAGTGTATATAATTGCAGCAAGATCCCAATTCTTTGTAATGCAAGTGATGACATGAAATTGTCAAACAGTTCTCACATGTATCTAACAAATTATTCTCAGACTTTCTCAACATTGTTGATTTTGGCAATGTAAGACTATTAATTGTAGACTTTTATACTTTTGTGTATTGTGTCTCTTCATTTTTAATTTGTCACTTGTTAATTTTAACTTCAGTATAACTTTTGGCCCACTTAATATGTTGTTATAGAGTATTATCCCTTTCTCTCATTTAAAATGTAGACATAAATTATAAAAAGTTACTTAAAGAATATGGGTATTGTATACAACTTAATTATTGGCAGTAGTTTTCTTGCTTATTTTATATAAGCAGTGAAGGAAGAAATTATTTTTTGTTATTAAAAATTGCTGTTATCAGTATTATTATTATTATTAGTTCTTTTTGGTTACATGACAGTAGAGTATATTTTGAAACATTTACACAGACATGGAGTACATCTTATTCTAATTTGGATCCCAGTCTTGTGATTATACATGATATCACTGTGGTGTATTTATATATGTACATAAGTGAAGAAGAAAATTCTTGAGAATCGTTGTTAAAATTATGAAGATGCCTGATAAGATCTTGTTTGTTATCATTATTCTTAACTGATATATCCTAGAAGCTAAATGAATGAAACGTGACACTTTTATAGTGTCACTTTGAGCTTATTATTTTCCCCATTTCAGAGAAGATGAAGTAGCCTAAGCCTATCCCAGACATTTAAATAGTTAAGTGCAAAATTAAGACCCCAAATACTCTGTGTACTTGAAATTTGATATCCTTTTTTTTTCTACATTATGTTGCTTTTCTACCAAAACATATTCTTCTCTTTAGAATATACCAAGATTAAAAGATAAATATTTTAGAATCTGGAGATATAGCTCCTGGTTAATGCTGGTAGATTTAATCCCCATCCACAAAAATAGACAAAAGACAAATATTTGTGAACATCATGTTGCTGATTTCTTTTAAAGAGAGTCTTTTTTCCCCCTTAAGCTCGTGTTTCTCATGGGGACATGACAGAATGTTTTATTGGAATTTATTTCCCCTCTTGCATGTACTGAATGCTGCTATATATGGTGGTGGTCACAGTGGTTATGCTGTAAAATTTTTTTTTCATATAGAATTCATCAGATAAAAGTACTGATCTCCAAAGTTGTCTAGAAAAGCTTAGGATATAAGTATGATAGTTATGTCTTCAGTGAAAGTCTCCTAAAAACAATATTCTCTCAACCCTTCTGCCAGAATCTACTTGGGCAGATGAAATAGTACCCAGAGTAGCCCTTTTCAAGACTTTTTTGAGGTCTTTTTAAAAAATTTATGCAACTTTTATAGTCTTCT